GTTGAAGAGACTGGGTGAGCTTAGCCCACCCTGTCTCACCCCGCACTCCAACCGGTATGGTTCAGACAAAACATTAGCCCATCTAACGCAATTGACCTGTCCCCCATAACAATATTTTAAAATCTGTATCAGTTGACCTGGTAATTTAATATCCTCCAATTTTTTCCACAGTATATTGTATCAGATCAAATGCCCTCGACAGGTCAAGGAAACAAGCGTAGACAGGTGTTTTCCTATCAATATAATATTTGACAGTGTGCTTAAGGCAAAGTATCGCACTTTCTGTGGACAGTCCGGTACGAAACCCGAACTGATTGTCATGCAGTTTTAGATATTTATTGATCTGCGTATTAAGCACACTGTCCAATATCTTTGCTACGATGGTTGCCAAGGATATTGGTCTATAATTACATTTATCTGACAAGTCACCCGTTTTATTTTTTACCACCGGTACTACTATGGTCTTCATTAGATCAGGGGATAGATATGCATGCCGTAAACATGTACTGTCTTATTAATAAAAATTGCTTATTCCAACCTTAATTCGAAGTTACACTTGGACTAGTTAATCTCAGAGTAACTGAGTATTAACTCCGTTATTACAATGTCATTAATAAACATGGAGTAACCTCGGACTAACTATACATTCCTTACGCCGGGATTAACGCGTGCGCTATGCCAACCCACTTATTTTAAAAGTAAAAAAGAGTGAGTCAGTGAATGATTGGTGAATGAACTCAATGTTTGATAATGACATTAATGACAGTGACAGGCAATATTTTGAGTTTGTTGTTCCTCGCAGTGTTGCCATATATACAGATTTCCCCGTATTTATACAGATTTTCGGTGTATGATACAGATTAGCACTGGGTACAGATTTTTATACAGAGTTTTCTAACTCTATTGATTGGATTATCATAATATTCAACTTAAAATAGAATGAAGCAAAATAAGAGACTAGATACCGCGTTACACACATTCATGATTCTATTCTTTATGGTTGATTTATTTTTTCACAACGTAATTAGTTAGTATGGCAGAATTACAAGTGTATTACAAAATATGTATACAAGGTGTAAGTGTAAACACCTTTGTCACTAAAACTATAGGTAGTTGGCTTTAATATGAAAATATTTATCCAAATTCTAAAAAAAAAACCCTATTTTCTTTCATAAAATTTAAGAGGTTTCTGTCCGAAACCGTCCGTAAATTCATGGATACCCTATGCGCCCGGGTGAGTAATCACTGTAAAGATCACCGCCCACACTAGCTACCTACACTATATTCTAATAAAAACACAATAGGTACACATAACCTGTGATGTAACTTTTCCTTCATACTTTCACCCTGGCTTAGGACAGGCAAAATTGAGGAATTAAGGAAAAATTGAGATTTTACTAAAAAAAAATGTTATTTTTCATTGAATTTACGTTCTATAAGTGAAACCAAACCACTGGTTTCAAGTATAACGATGTTTACACTAACGCCCTGTATATAAAATATGTATGACTGAAAATAATAAAGTAATTATATCTTCATTAGGCAAATGTTTGAGTTTTAATATGTTGTTTGCTTAAATTAATGTTTTCAATTTTGCTATATAAAAAATTTAGTGTATAGTGTATATTTTATACATGGTAGTGTTTTGTATGGTGAAAGTAGAAATGGAGACCCTTTTTACTGGAAATGAGGCATCCCCTCTTGGTCCTCAGGCGTGACAACGTATCTGCGTTTTAATTCTTAAGCGAGGATAAATGTGGATGTCTATGGGCCACAGCATCCACTTACCATTGGTGGACTGTGTGCTCGTTTGTCACCTTTATTCTATAAAAAAATATTTTTATTTGATAACGATAATCAAACCTTATCTGCTTATCATGTTAGTAGTTATTCCTTGTTTTTCAAAAAAAGCAATGATGATGATGATCAATTATTCTATTTTGGTTTATTAAATTATACAAATTTTAAGTTTAAGTAGCATACAGATTTAATACAGATTTTAGCAGTGTCTAATACAGATAAAAGGTTCAAGACATCTGGCAACACTGGTTCCTCGTGTTGTTTTCGGACTTGGCGGAAAAACTAAGTTGGTTCCTAAATATAATTACTTTTAATATTATTTTCGACTCAAAATGGATCAAAAACTCATTCGCTCTCAAAATTGGGATGAAGAAGAAAAGGTAATTTCAGTCAATAGTTTTCTTTAATGTACTATTTATCGTGGTACCGTAGTCTTTATTAATATTCTTTTACTGTTTCAGCTTTTATTTCGCTCTGTGCTTAGAGAATATGCGGACGTTATTGAAAATAAATGTCTAGATAAAAACAAAAGCGTGGGAAGAGGTTCACAAAAAGTAAGATAATTAGTTTTCTGTATTGAATAAAATTATATATACGGATTTTAGTGAACATGTTCAAGATTATCCCCACCATTACATCTATCTGATTTGATAAACTACAAATCCTCGCAAAAAAATATGGGTTCCTACCAAGGATGATAAGCGAGGCTATTGAAATTAGAAAAATCCTAATTTCAATAGAGAAGATGGTTGGCTGTTGCTATCTGCTTGGGATCCTATAATTAACAAAATTAAACCCAAACCCAAGCATACCACTGCAAGACTTCAAAATACTGTAAGTTCGTTTTGCATAGATCGGACAAAAAAATTAATATTCAAAAACTGAAGGTAGCTGGGCTAACTATGACATTGGAACATCAAACATCTCAGTCCCCCCCCCGGTGACCATGGGTGCTGTAAAGCACCCAAAACGTCTAGAATTAAAAATAAGTTATTAACATGATAAAATCCGCAAATATGGTTTTATTCCATGTGTAGTGTTCGTGTAAGTTTAAGAAATCATTATGGTTTTCTGTATTTATGATCTAATTAAGTTTTTTATCCTATAAAACAAGACTTTTCAGGTGCCCTGTTTTCTTTTTTCAGAGCATGATAAATCTGCTTAATTTGTTCCAAATCTGTTTTGCGATATAATCGTAATGTTGAAAAATGTTTGCAAAGTAGGTTCAATTACAGAACAGTCATATTAAATGTAACCCAATAACTAAAATTACAATAACCAATAAAAGATTCATACTACCAATTTTATCTTCTATTCTTATAGGTTTAATGAGTTAAATAGCCGACATCGTCAATTAAGTCAGCTGAAAATACAATGGAAAACAATGAAGGTAAATGCTCGGAAGAAATACAGCACCTTCAAAAAAGAATTATCCAAAACAGGTGGTGGGGCAAGACCAGCAACTCCTAATGATGGAATAATAGAAATTAAAGATTTGTTGAATCCTGCAGAGCTGTTGAGGGATCATAATATATATGATTCGGATGGGATTGTGAGTACATTTTTTATTCTTTATTACTCCTTATAACATTTTAGAAGACAAAGTCCTCAATTCATTCATTTATTAATCATTAATATTTATTTTTATTTAGCACATTTAGCATAATTGTTATTCTGTTTTCAATAGATCGAAAGTTCCTCATCAAATAAAGTTATATTGGCAATTACCAGCGAGACATGTGACAACACATTACAGGTCAGTTGGTCAAAAATGTCGGACAGTAATAATGAATAACATTGATGTCATACAAAATTGCCTTTAGTATGTGCCTTACATGTTATTACCTTTATTATTTATTTCAGGATGTAAAACCAATGACATATGTGGTCAAATATTTGAATACACAAAATGTGGATGAGAATATTAACCCAGAAAATCAGCAGATAGCTGTAAGTCACAATATCTATTGATCTATGATATTATATAGCAGAAAGTATTGCATTCTGAATACTAAAATATTAAACATAATTTTTACATTTTTAGGACAACATTATAGAAAATGCTGATGCACAAGAGAATGCTCAGGAATTTACTTCATCAGTGGTGAGCTTACAACAATAATATAGGTGATAGGTACATAGATGTGTATGAAATAGACGGTGTACTTTAAATTTTTACAATATCTTACAGGTATCTCAAGATGCGATTGGGGCCACTCCAATGAACAAAAATATGGGCAGGACTTCAATAAAGGTGTGTAATTTATTGAGTGGCACTTTTCAATTTTGAGTTTTATGATGAATGATTATTTATTTGCCAGTGAAAAATCCTTGAAAACTTTTTTTACAAACCTAATTCTTATTATTTTTGCAGGTGCCCAAACGAAAACTCATATCAAATAATAAAAAGGTAATATTTATGCTGCTAGTTTTGTTTACCTTGCTCTGTTTATCTATCAACATATAATCTTATTTATTACACTGGTTGTCTTTTACAGAACCATGATGATTATGTAAATAACATGCTAAGCCATAGCAAAAAGCTAAAAGAAGAAGAGCACAGGAGACGTCTAGAAATGGCTGAAGAGGAACATGCAATAAAAATTGAAATACACAAAGAAAAACTAAATTGTGCCATACTCGAAAGAGAAATATTAGAGTTAAGAAAAGTGCGTGAAGAGCAAAATTAATTGAATAACCGTTTTTGTTTTGTTTTTTTGGGTATAAATAAAATCTTTTCTACATGTAAATATTGTATATTTATTTTAAAAGTTTTCATTAATAAATGCTGCCCGTACAGAATTTCGTCTTAGGGAGTTATTTATTGATTGTCTGGTATATTTCCATCATCTCCTTCTACTATATCCTCAAGCAGATCTTGCTTTTGCATTGCAATGTTGTGCAGTATTGCCAATGCAACAATATATAGTTTTGTATGCTTTAATTTGGTGTTTAGTCCTCGCAGTAAACACTGAAACCTTTGCTTCCACACTCCGAAGCATCGTTCTACAGTGTTTCGGGTCCTGATATGTGACTGGTTATACATTTCTTCATTTTCTGTACAAGCATAACCAGAATCTCCGAGAAGTCTGCCTTTAAATTCTGCCTGCTCAAACCTTTGTTTTATGCGACTTTCGCTAAAAATTCTTGAGTCATGTGTGCTGCCTAGCCAATGTGCCACTATATCCATGATTTCCAAATTAGAATTTGACACAACCTGGAACAGAGCACTCATAGCTTCTTTAATATGAATTTTTGCGGTGATGATTGTACTGAATCTAAGAAAAATTACTTTAAGTACATATATGGCAAAGATGGGTTAGTTAGGCGCTATAAAACTTACTTGTACATTTATTGAGCTGTATCCTTTCCTGTTAATATAGTACTGTCCGATATTTCCACCGACTTTCGGGATTCGAATATGTGTGCAATCAATAGCGCCTATCACTTGTCTAAATCCACATATTGAATAAAATCCTGCAATCACATTGTTCTGCTCCACATCACTTCTTGGCATTTTAATCCATTGGACTCTTTTTGTTACTAGTGCTAAAGCAACTTGTTTGCATACAAGTGATATTGTTGGCTGACTCATTCCACTTAGATCCCCTGCATCATCTTGAATCTGTTGAAAACAAAAATAATTGAATTAGAAATCATAACAACTAATAACTATGTACTTAATTCTTAAAACTATTGATAAAGAAAGATGTTAATGTAAATGAAATTGATAGTAAGTAGGTGCATAGTTATAATTACCTCTCCACGGGCCCATGTTCTTATTGCAGTCAAAACTTTCAGATAGGGTGGAATAAATCCACCTCTTGAATCACCAGCTAAATCATTTTTCACCATATCAATAAGGAAAACGGTGGTACTTCGGGAAAATCTGTATTTAATTTTAAATTCGGCTTCTTGAAGTTCTTCCAATGGATTCTTACGAATTTTATAAAATTTTACACGTCTCATCAATGGAATCTGATTAACAACTTCATTAATTTCATCTATGACTCTCATATCATCAATCAAATAATCTCTATTCATCTTGATGTTGTTAATAATGAACTAAATTAACAAACAATATCCGAACTTACAACTTATGAATTAAACACGTGTAACAACTAACAACACAACGCGCGTAAACGTATAGGGTAAATCTTTCCAATATGGACCATCGATTTCAAAGCCCATATTTTTTTTGTAGATAGTACTCACTAAAAGAAAGCGTTTGGCTAATCTTTCCAATATGGACCATCGATTTCAAAGCCCATATGTTTTTTGTAGATAGTACTCACTAAAAGAAAGCGTTTTGCAAAGTTTTAGGTTGCGGAAACTTACGGTTCATGAGATATATTTTTTTAAACTTTTCATACAAATTGGTAAATAACACGCAATTACAAAATACATACGGCAGCTAAAATAAATTTGACAAATGATTGATGTTAAACGTCAGTTAGTGTAGGGTTCCGAATATTTTGAAAGTATCGATACCTACTCGATACCAAGTATCGTATCAAAAGTATCAATTCTACTTGGTATCGAGTACATTTCGTTAATTTTGGAGACGAAAAATTATGACAAACCAATTAGATGCATAGGAAGAGCTGATAAGTGCAATTATATATGTATATAAAGTAGAATAAAGTTTACTCTATTTAAGTTCCAGCGATAACAACAATTTACCGCAACTTCAGTTTGCAATAACTGAAGTAAAATCAACCTTACAAACCTCAACGCTCACAAATTTGTTCGTCAATGCTTTATACAAATGTTGGAGTCCAGTCTTCTTTAGTTAGTACGCACATGCGTACATTTACACTGAAGCAAATTCTACAAATTTCACTAAAGGCCATTCCTGTTTCTTATTGCTTCAATGTAATTGAAATTGAATTCTCTTTTTCATAGTTCGAACCGTTTTCAGAAATTTAATGTAGCTTGCTACATATTTATTTATCTATGATATAATGGGTACGTTTGGCAGAAAAAAGCGCTAGCAAGCGCTTGTAAGCAAAATGGCGATCGTAAGCGGTAAGCGCTGTCAAATCGTAAGTAGGTATTTTCCTCTAGGACACAAAGTCAGTTTTAACCGTAGACAGAGAAACCTATAGACTAATGATCGGCGTGGCTTCGAGTGAGAAAGGACGATAACGAATTTTTAGGTTATACAATAATCTTTATGACTTTTAAACACATTTAGATAAAAAATTTAATTGTTCTAAGAACTGAACTGAACAAGATTCACCAATCTTAGGCTCACAAAACACTTTTTTCTCACTTAAACCAACTTGTAAACTCCTTAAATCGCTACGCTTTCAAAGTTGTTTAGCAAACTGTAGAGTTTGCTAAACAAAAAAACCGGCACGGAGAAAGGGACAAACAATCACACCGCTCTATCTCATTTCTATGCAAGACGTATGCATAAATCTATCTTTTTCATGTGCGAATGCGAAAGAAGGCGTCAATTTGTCTATAGGTTTCTCTGTCTACGGTTTTAACCGGGGAACCTAACCTAATTTAAAAATATGTTTGTAAAGTATTCATATTAAAAACTTACCAATCATGAATTTTTAATAACATCTATGTGTGTATTCATGCATTATATTACTTAAAACTAATATTGCACAAAAAACTTATAAACTTTACTTCAAAACAAACAAATTAAATAAGCAAAATGGCGGATTGTGTCAGCGCTACTGAAGTAGCTATCGTGTCCTGGCCGAAAACTATTTCAGCGCTTGTAAGCGCTTGCTAGCGCTTTTTTCTGCCATACGCACCCAATCACACTCATTGACCTTTTTTTTATTAACTGGCTTTATGGCTCTAGGTTCTAGCCCTTCTGAGTCTATCATTTCTTTTTTATATATTTGTATCTTCATTTTTATATATTTTTTCTTCACTATATGCTAATGCGTCACATTGCGAAGTTTTTGGGAGATTTTGACGACAGCTCAACCCAGCGGACAGTTGATAACGACAACCACTCACGTTCATAAGGCGCCCAAGCGATCAAATTAACTTGAGGTTTATATCAACATCAAAGCACGTGTTTCGTCGTTTTATCTAACAGTTCACACACGCAGACACTTAATTCACAGAATCGCATCTTTTTTACGAAATTCATTATTCAAGCGACAACACAGGAGTGACATTCCGTCGACGACCAAGTTCCCGCCAAAACCTTTAAAATCACTGAACACTATTAACCCCACTTTCCACTATAGGTTATAATATAATTAACATTACATCTCGAGATATAAATTAATATCGCTCACCGCACTTTTAAATGGAACCGTTTCCACTGAGATATATTTATATATTGAATAAAACTATTATTTACGGATTTACGTACGTACGTACGTAAATAATAGTTTTATTCAATGTGTAGTGTTCGCGTAAATTTAAGAAATCATAAATATATATATATATATATATATATATATATATATATATATATATATATCAAGAATCAAGAATCATTTATTTGCATAAAACACGGTAAATAAGTTGTTACATCAAATAAAAGATCAACATGTTTTGTCCTGTTAGGACGTGCAAATATTTAAGTATATGATCAATTGAATTTAAATTAGTTATTATTTAAACAGTACAATTATTATTATTATTATTATAGTATTCATATTTAAAATCATAATTCATTACAAACAGATTGAATTGAATTAAATTGAATTAAAATTAGTTATTATTTAAACAGTACAATTAAAATACATTACAAACATTATATTCATAGTCAAGTGAATTTATTTGTAATTAAAAAACTCCTTAATATTATAGAAAGCCCTGTCCACCAACCACATAAAAAGTTTGCCTTTAAACTTACTAAGAGGCAATGACTTTAAGTCGCTAGGCAGTTTGTTAAATACCTTTATTGCCATCGAGTAACAGCTCTTATGAGAGGTTGCCTTCTTTCTAAATGGAAGAACTAGTTTATCCTTATACCTTGTATTAAAACTAACAACATCACTATTTTTTGTAAAAAACTGTTTATGTTTTTTGACCAAGACACCCAACTCGAAAATATAAATGCTAGGAAAATGTTAGAATTTTTAGGGTTGGAAAAAGTTCTCTACAAGAATATAATGGACCAACCCTGCAGATTGCCCTTACACACTTTTTTGAGCAATAAAGGCTTTGTTCACTGTAGATCCATTTCCCCAGAGTATTACGCCATATCTCAAAACGGAATCTATATAGCCATGATAGGCGAGTAAAGCAATTTTTTCAGATGAGGTCCTTGACAATCTTCGTAATGGGTAAATGAACTTATTGATTTTTGTACATACTTCTATAATATGTCTTTGCCAAGTACAACCATCATCAATATGTATCCCCAAGAATTTTGTATTTTAAACCTCCTCCAGTTTTTGTCCATTTATATTAATGTCAATAGTTTTTTTATATTTCCTTAGATTAAATTGTATTATTTTTGTCCTAAATTTACTTTAGTCTATTCTTGTACAGCCAATCTGTGACACTTATAACAGCTGTCATTATTTTATCATTGTAATTGGATTTAGTGTCAGTACTTATTATGATTAAAATGTCGTCAGAAAAAAAGTACAGACTTGCAATTGATAAAGTCAGGTAGGTCATTAACGTAAAGCAAAAAGAGAAGAGGCCCCAGGACACTCCCTTGTTGTGTTTATATTTGGATCTGTACGATATCATTACATTATTAACGTCTATATCATTTATTTCAACACACTGTTCTCTACCGCTTAGATAAGATTTTATCCACTGTAATGCTGGGCCCCGAATACCATAGCAGTACAGCTTATCAATTAAGATATCATGACACACTACATCGAAAGCTTTACTCATATCAAAAAAATACTGCATATACTAGGTGATCTTTGTCTACACAATTATTTCGGTAACCAATGAATAGGCTGCTAATGTGGTCAATTTATTTCTTTGAAATCCATTTTGCTCTACTTTTAGAATGTCAAATTTTGTTAGATAATCGTATATTCTAGAATACATAGTTTTTTCAAAGATTTTAGACAGTATAGGTACTAAAGTAATTGGTCGATAATTATTTGTGTCGCATTTATCATCCTTTTTATGTAGCGGTTTTACTATTAAAAACTTGAGAGCTGTTGGAAAGGATCCTTCTATAAACGATATGTTAACCAAATGTGACAGAATTGGCGATAAATCTTCAGCACACATCTTAAGGATTCCAGTTGCTATGTTGTCGTAACCAACTGATAGTGTGTTTTTCAACGAAAGTATTACTTTTTTTATCTCATATTTATTTGAAGGACGCAAAAAAATACTTTTCGTATTATGTTTGGTTAATGTTTTATCAATTTGCTTCATTTTATTCGGTGAATGAATAAAATATTTGTTTAAATTCTCGGCCATTAGTATTTTGTCACTAGTAACTTTATTATTTATTTTTAATTCTTTAATACTTTTTGGGATATTATTAGCTACAGTTTTGTTTTGGATAATGTTCCATGCTGCCTTGCATTTGTTTTTACTATTTGAGATATACTTGTAATTGCTAATTTTTTGGGATTTACTTATAACTTTTTTTAGAATGTTAGTATAAAGGTAATATTTTGACTTGTTTGATATTTTTTCATTAGGTCTTGATGTATAGTAAATGTAACTCAACTTCCTTTTTGTTTTACAAGATTTTCTAAGTCCTGCTGTTATCCATTTAGGGCCACAAGTTTTTATCTGACGTTTAATTTTAATCACGGAAAAGCATAAGTCATAGAATAATCTAATTATGTCATGAAAATTACTAAAAGCTAGGTCAAAGTTTGATTCGTCATATATGTCATTAAATGTCAGTTGCTTCATTATTTCTTTAAATTTTCTCCTATTGTCAGTGCTATAGTGTCTTCTAAGTATCCAATATGTATTTATGTAAGTTTTATATTTATAAGGAAGTTTTATACTAAGCGTTTCACCCGTGTTATGGTCAGATAACCCCAATTCATATATTTTACCTACGGCTTCTCGGTCATTGCTTATAATATGATCTA